TTCTCTGTCCTGTCCAAAAGTTCTAAATTGGATCATTGTTCTTTCCTAGATACAAGAAGTAGCTAACGCTCACACTGAGATTCAACTGAATCTAGCTATTTTCGGAAACAAAAATAGAACAGACTGTAAAACACAAGTATAGAAAATAGAGACAAAATGTTGCAATATTACTGTTCCCAAAAGTGTGTGGAGTTATTCAAGAATAATATCTAAGAAACACAGTAACAAAAGTACATGGTTCACAAATGGGACCAGCCACAAATAAACTGCGTTATGGAGTGCTTTATTTAGGATGCTAAGCAACTGGGCCTCCTCTTTGTAAATACTACTACTTTGCCACAGACTATTAGGTTGTACAATGAAATAAGCATTCTATGAGAGCTGCATCATAAAATGTTCTGTAATTTCAGAGTGTATTCTTTATTTCTTCCAATCTTGGAGACTTTTAGGCCTGAAGATATTGTTCTATTGTACATGGATGGAGGCATACTGAGAGCAAGTTAATTGTAGTAAGACAGATAAAGGGCTACATAAATGATCCTGCTTATGGGAATAACTTTTAAAAATAAACATATTTAAAGACTGTTCACAAAGTAGTGCAAATAAGAAGTGTTCGCACCTCTAAGGATAATCAGAATTCTTTTATGTGTGCATTTCCTTCATTTTCCTGAACATCAGAGAGATGGTGGGTAAAATGCAGCCTCATTTATGGAAATATCCACCTAATAGAAGTTCATTAAATATACCAAAGTATAAAATATACATACACCAGCTGCTCTGCACGGAATTAATCATAAACAAACACATTATACAACCAGTTGAAAATATCAACTTGAACATAATTTACTGCAACATCTTTTCAAACTTGCAAATCAGCAACGGGATATCCTGAGATCGTATTTCTCCATTGTTTGGTGGGCTGGCCTGCCCTGAATCAAGTATGCCATGCAGTTATCATTTTCAGTACCAGCTGCTTGATTGTAGTGCAAAACACACGTGTGGTAAGGATCACATTAAGAGGGAAGGAAAGATTCTCCATTATGCCTTATCTATAAGGAGAGGTCTCTTTATTCGTCTTTTGCTGATCTGAAAGGCAGAACTAGATGCTAAACTTAATTTAAATTATAGGATAGAAAAAAAATAACTTAACCATGGTTGAATAGTTAGAATGGTTTGACAATGGACTCAAATGATTTTGAAGAGGATGGTTAGGGTCTACCAGATGTTGGACAAGCAAATTTGGACATTGTTGTAGTTTTGGATTCCAATACGAAGCCCTTCCAATACTTCACAGATTTAAAAGGATTAATTTCCTCCTGAATAATTGTACTATGTTTCCCTGAAAATAAGATCTATCTTGAAAATAAGCCTTAGCTTGATTTTTACACATGGGCCCAATATAAGCCCTACCCCCAAAATAGGTTTTGGGGCAAGGGGCACATGTAAAAATCAATCTGGGGGGTGGGGGGGAATGGAGCTGCCCCATGCGCCACACCCACTTACCTTAGCACCGCTGCAGCCAGGCCTCCCACACCCTGACACTTGTTGCACTGCTGCCTGAGTTCTACAGTTATTTGTGACCGCATGCCATGTAGGCACATTGCGCCGCTGCCACTGGTCGCAGGAGGCTGCGAAGCTTGTGCCAATTGTGCTGCTGCCACTGCTCACAATAGGAGGCCACGCAGCTTGTGCTGATGCTGCCGCTTGTGGCAGGAGCCCGTGAGGCTCCTTGCACTGATCACACCCACTTGCAAATGGCGCTATGAGCCTCATGGCCTCCTGCCAGTTGGTGGCAGTGGCGCGATCGATGTGACCAGCCTCGCAGCCTCCAGCTGAGAGCAGCAGCAATGGCGTGATGAGCCTTGTGGCTTCCAGCCATGAGCAGCGGCAACAGCGAGATTGGGGCAATGCACCATATGGCCTCCTACTGCGACCAGCAATAGCGACGCAATGCACTACATGGCGTGTGGCCGCAAGTGACTACAGAAGAACTCAGGCAGCAGCGCGACAGGTGTCAGGGCATGGGAGGCCTGGCTGTGGCAATCCTAAAGTAAGACATCTCCCGAAAATAAAACCTGGCTCCTCTTATTTTTGGGGAAACACGGTATACTGCTCTATGAACATGGGATATTATTAATCATATAGTAACTACTGTGAGGATCCATGCTCACAAAAAACAGGAAAACATTCCAACTCAATTCCAGAAAGCAGCAGAATATTTGGGAAGAGGATGCTAAATCCTCCCAAGACGCTCTTCCCTGGTTCTAACTCATAATGAACCAGTCATCTTTAGAAAAACTGACAGCTTGTCAGAATAGCCATTTTTGCTCCAGGAAGAATTTAGCAGTTAAGTCTTGATTTCTTTGGGCTACAGAACTGAATAAGGACATGTGCCTTCAGCAGGGACATTTCTAATTGTATCAAACAATGATGAACTTTGACATACATGAAACAACAGTTTTGTGAAACAGCTATTTTATGCTGGTCTTTGATAGGACTTTGACCTCAAGCTGCTACCCAAATTAAGGCAAGACAAAGCACTTAGAATTGGAGGAAGTTGCCTTATACAAAATCAAATTACCAAACTATCTAATTCAGTTTTCTATTGATTTTACTGGAGTACTTTTTCTACCCCTCGGTGGGAATGCTGGAGATTGAACCTAAGATCTTCTGTGCTCTGTGGATTGAATTTTCATGTTAAAATTTTATGATCTTGTGGGGCCATATTACTAAATGTCCAGGGCCGCATGTGACCCGTGGACCGTGGGTTGGACATAGCTGCTCTTCATTTTGAAGGAAATACAGCATTTCCTTCAATGGGAAGGTCTAAGGAGAAAGAACAAATATTTCTAGCTACTCTGTGTGAGATTGTGTTCCTGGAGAGGCCAGTATTTTAATCGCTTTTGGAAGCAAGGTAATTACTATCCATGGGAAGCTGGCATATTTTACAAAATTCAGCCCATACCACAGAGCCACCCCTTGTGGCTGGGTAATACTACTTAGGAAATACAGGACGACAAGAGCCAGGATGGCACACCATCCCCTCTGAAGCCAACCAAGACTCTCCAGCTTCAGTTGAGTATAGGATGAAGAGTGGAAGGTCAATCCCAGTCCAAGGACTGTGGCTACATCACGACATAGGGAAGCAAATGGGTATGTGTCCATACGGATCCACTTCGGATTTTCACACCACTTCGTAGCAAGTTTCATTGACCTAAAGACAGTAAAATTAAGAGAGGCATATGAAACTTATCTATAGCCATGTCTACAGGAGGAAAAAGTTGAAATCTGAGTAGTTCTAGAATCTTTCTGAATCTCTAAAACTACAAAATGTGATATCCATGGGTAAACTATTCTTTTCTTTTTAGAAATGAATTCCTACAAATGTTTAAGTCAACATTCCTTTATTATTTGAATATGCCTGGTACTTGGTGGAAGATCTTTGAAGATGTCAGAATTAAAGAAGATCTTTAAATCTTTAAAAGACCAGTTAAATAATGGCAAAACGCACCCCCTGTTTATGTGTATGGATGGCTTTTTTTCCTCCCCCTCAAACCAAGAAAAGTGTTAAAAGGTTCATGGTGAACATGTGCGTGAAACAGGCAACAAAACTGAGAGTTTCTTTCCTTCATGTATTTATAGCATAATTAAAATAGCATTGCAATATCACTTTCACTTGATGTCTTCATAGTGTTGCCCTCATCTCATATTTAGGGCATGATTTAAACCATGATTTTATCTTACCCTTTTCTGTGTGCACGACACCAGCAAATACAGAAAATAGCCAAGATGACTGGCAAACAGCATCCTAGTGTTGCAGGTACATATGCTAGGTTCCATTAAGGAGTGCTAGTTAAGAAAGCCTGTTAGATATTTAGATAGCCTGTGAAAAAGATGACATGTGCATTCCTTTGCACTGAAGGAACTCACCAGTTGAGATCTATGCCAAGAGTAATCAATGTCCAATAAATCACTGTGGCACTTAGCCAAAGGGAGAATGAAATCATCAGGTAGAAATGGAATCCTCTTTCCAGTGGGACCCAGAATTGAAGTAGCCAACCTAGACTGATCCCTGAAGAGAGATGGTAGAAAAGGGAAGCTTCATTGTAAACTGCCAATCTATTGCCTTAATCTTTGGATGTTCTAAAACAGAGGTCAGCAGCCTATGGGAAGCCAGGTCAGCAATTCAGCATTTGGTGATATGGTAATTATCACCAGAAGCAATAGAACTGTATTTTTAATTTTATTGTCGCCTTTCTTGTTTGGATTTTGGGAGGATTTTAAGGTTAAAACCTGGAAGTCCCTGCCAAATAACTACACAGAGAAGCAGGATGAGCCTGTCTGATGATTATGCTTCTACATGAAAGTCCCTTCTTGGTTATTCCAAACATCTTTTAATATATTATCTCTCAAACTAATATAAGCTGAGATAGAGAATCATATTATAATAATTTTATATCTGTTATAATAAATCAATGGTGCATGAGGAAATATTAAGTGATCTATTATAAATCATTCAAGGATTTAACTAAGAGATCCAGATGTGGCCACTCTTAATTTAGGGGATACCTAATTTCTTCACCAAGTTCATAATCTCATAAACTATTCTTTAGCCAAGTATGCACTATAATCCTGTGAACATGTAATTAGAAATAAGTATGCTTTTAGGCAAAAGGACAATTTTTTAAGAAGCTGGCAATATTTCTAATCTGATAATTTTCTGGCACTCTGTGATCTGTAATTATTTAAGATCAGTTAGAGCTGAAGGATGCAGAAGAAATGGATATGGCATTCTGGTCCAATAATCTAATCACCTGTGGATTTGATATCTGTCCCACTAATGAAAGGTTGCCAGGAAGAACAACAGTGGTGAAGGGATATTTGCCTCTTGCCTTGAATGCAGCAGAGTTAATGTCTCATTCTCAATAAGTCATTGTTTAATTTGGTTATTTTAGATAACTATCATCCAGTCTCCAACCATCCTTTTGGGGGCAATGTTGTAGAAAAAGTAATTGGCTGCAGTTACAGAGAATACTGGAGAAAAAGGATTATATGGATCAATCAGGATTTAGGCTTAGATACAGGAGAGAAACTATATTGATGGTCTTACCAGATTACCGATGGAAAGTGGTTTTGATAGAAATATTCTCAACGAGACGTGCTTTTATCAGTCTTGAAAACAAATATTCAAAGGAGTGTTTAAAAACTGGGCTGATATCTCTTAGCTCAGCACATGTGTGGCCACATGGTTTTGCCATATACGTGGAAACCAAGAACCTAGAACATGCACAAATAGCATACTGCTAACTTTCATGATGTACTTACCTGCCAAAATGCCACCAATAACTTGATGGGGGAAATGAGCAAGTATGAAGATGCGTGATAGTCCGATAAGCAGCAAGAGGAGGAAATAAACTGTAAAGGGCACTGCCTTCATGATCCAACTGTTGGGAGAAGAAAACTGTAACACCAAATAACTCAGACGGATTGAGAATGATCTCTCCTGCCTCTCCCAAAAGCCAACAGCCTTAGAACTACCAGGTCCCAAATTACAATTTCTGTTCAAATTAAGGAAAAACAGGATAAAGCATTTTTGCATATATGAGTGACAGAGGTACACAGCTAAGGTTGTTCTGCAAATGGAAATTCCAGTTTATTGATTTAGAAACACCTTAAAAAGAATCAGGCATTTCTGCTGCTTTCTCTACCGGTAATGTTAAAAGAATCTTGATGGGACTTTGCTCACAATTGCATCAGCTGAATCCAGATAATCCAGAAGCTGATATTTTTCGTCATCTGCAAACATTCACTCCTGGATTGCTCCTACTTTAGAAGACTAGTGAGGCCAACTCTACCAACAGAATGAAAAGAATTATAGGAATGGATCAAACAAAAGCACCTTGTTGATTATCCTTCTTCAAATGGAGGGGTTCCTATCTATTTGGAAGGCAAGTGTTTGATGCTAGTTAGAGTATTATGTCCAATTCCGGCAACCTTGTTCCCAAAAAGTAGCATCACAGCTCAAAAAGTTACAGAATCTGCAGCCATAACAATCAAGGGCCTGGAATAATTGCAACCCGGAAATATATAAAATATTTGCCTTTTTTGTTTTTCTGGGGCTGGGAGAACAGGCACAAATTATATTATAAAATATAATATGAAATATATCATAAAGGGTTATAACAAATGTGCATAGATTTCGACATCACCTGATAGGAGATAGAGGTATTTGGAAGAAAAGAGTCTGGGACTTTCCCTGCTGTACTGTCAAGTCTACACTGTGGCCCTGATGTTCAGTTACAATAGTGTTGGCAGGAGAGCCGTATGCAGGTAACAGAAGGAGGATCAGGGCTTCATACTTCAACAGGAAGTTTTTAAAGAAGTCAGTACTGCAGACCAAAGGTGAACAACTCAAGGCTCCATTGCCTCCACAGCAAACAGCAATTTTAAGACACAAAGCAAACTCTTAAGATAAAGTCCAAGGTATGTAAAAGCTGTGATCTGACTGTGATCGCAATACTTCACTGAATGAGTTTAAGGTCAGGGGCTGCCTCTCAGCCCAATCTACCCGACTTCACTAATGGTGAGAAAAAAAAATGGGTGGAGAACAAGCTATGTACATTAACTTAAGCACCAGAAGGGGAAAAAAGAGTATGTACCAAATCAATAAATCAGACATGATGCATTTCAAAGGAAGAATCCATACCTCCAATCTCAATGCAAGAAAAAATTCCAAATCTTTGCCTGGCACTTGTGTATGATGTGTCTTTGCCTATTTTACATCATGGTGTGTATGTGTGTGGGGAGGGAATGTCCAGTCTTACTGGAAGCAAAAGTTGGAAATACATAGATCTGGATTTATTGATAGGTTTGTTATGATTTATTGTAGACTGAAAAGGGCCCCTGAATTCTATAGCAGTGACAGGAACTCCACAAAAAAGAAAAAAAAACTTCAGAAATTTGCACGAGTTTTAACAAAATCAATTCTGACTTAAAGAGTCAGAAAGTCATATACTTTCTTGTATTTCTTGGAAGAAGGACTGAATACATTAACACGTAAACAAACAATTACTATAAGTCACAATGGAAGAATTGTCAAGATGACAGCATTGAAGAGCCGTGGAGGCACAGTGGTTAGATTGCTGTATTGCAGACTAACTCTGCCAACTGTCAGCAGTTCAATCCTGACCGACTCAAGGTTGACTCAGCCTTCCATCTTTCCGAGGTTGTAAAATGAGGACCTAGACTATTGGGGCCAATATGCTGACTCTGTAAACTGCTTAGAGAGGGCTGTAAAGCACTGTGAAGCAGTATATAAGTCTAAGTGCTATTGCGACATACCTTTTGGAGTTCTTGGCTATCTGTCTAGCCAGAATGCTTACAACTGGCCACAGGGCTGCACCAGTGATCATACAGTGGCCAGAGGGACTGCCTGCAAAAAAGAAAAAGAAATAAAATCCCTCTGCTTGCTAGTGACCATCCATGTAAAAGAGAAAAAAAGTAAAGAAAAGGTATAATTATGTCACATAGTTACACATAGTGTTCTTTTTTTTAAAAGTTTTTTATTTATAATACAGTTTAAAAAAAAGTGGACATAACGTAACATTCCAGTGTAGGTATTTCTAACAATTGGTTCCTTTTCTTACATATAATTCTTTAACTCTATATATACGTATATATTTTTCTATACAATATCTAATTTATTTCTCTATTTACTAACCTAAAATTGTATGTATTTCTATCTTAACACTAGACTATAACCCGGACAGTCCTCCTTGATNTTGTCCTTCATTTCCATTGTGAGCCTGTCCATATCGGCACATGATAATATTTTATATAGTATCTCTTCCTCTGTTGGGGTTTCTTTATTCCTCCAACTTTGTGCATACGCCAATCTAGCAGCGGTGAGGATGTGTAGCATCAGGTAAAATATCCCTTTGTCATATTTCTGTGTAGTTATGCCCAATAGGAAAAGTTCTGATTATAGCTCTCTCTATCGTTAATATTTCTTCAGCCATTTTTTTATCGTATTCCAAAAATCACAGGCTTTTGCGCACTCCCACCACATATGGTAGTAGGTCCCTATTGCCAGTTTACATTTCCAGCATGTAGATGAAAAATTTGGACTCATTTTAACTAACCTTATGAGTGGGAGATGCCATCTATAAAACATTTTGTAGAGATTTTCTTTGTAGGAGGTGGCCAAGGTAAGCTTCCTGTTTCTTACCCATAATTCTTGCCAAATGTGCAGATCAAAGTTAAGACCAAGGTCCCTGCTCCACGTTAACATAGTTTCTTTCACCTGTTCCTCATACATTGCCTGATCTAGCAGATAATGATATAGTTTTTTAATCATCTTGTCCTCAGTTCCTAATAATATTTTATCCAGCCGTCTGTTCTATTTTTATACCCAGCTCTTTTTTATCTTTCCAATATCTTGACTGTAATTGAAGATATGCTCACCATTCTAATTCTATCCCTTCATCTTGAAGATTTTTCCTAGATTTCAATTCCCCTTTCACATCCAATACATTTTTATATGTTATAACTTTCCCTAATTGTATAAACTTTGGGTGAATATGCATTTCTAACGTTGAAATCCAGCTGAGGACTTGTGTATAATTTGGTTGCCAAATTTTTACCCATACGTCTATTAGAGCTCGTCTGATGTAATGCCTCCGAAAATATTTGTAATGCCTCCTTATATTTCTAATCCCATAACATAGCATGCTATCCTATCTGCAAGTCATGACCTTCCAGACTTAATAGTCTCCTATTCTTCAATAGTATCCAATCCTGCACCCATAATAATACTATGGCCTGGTAGTATTTTTCCAGGTCAGGGAGGCCAAGTCCACCCCTTTCCTTCGAATCTTGTAGTAATTTTAATTTAATCCTTGCTTTTTTCCCTTGCCAAATAAATTTGAGTATGGTTTGGTTAAAGTTTTGAAAGAATTTCTTATCTAATTTAATGGGTATACATTGAAACAAAAATAAAATTTTAGGTAATAGTGTTCTTAAATTAACTAATAATCTATGGGTAGTCCTCAAGTTACAATTGTAATGGAGCCTGCCCATTGTGGTCATAACTCATATCATAAAATGGATTGGTCAGATGACCAACCTGATTTTACAATTTTTTTTGCAGTGATTACTAAATCAACCAAGGGTTTGTTATGGGTGTGCTTTTACAAAAAAAAAATAGAAGTAAATGCCGTTTTTCGCCAAAATCATTACAAAATGCAGTCATGGATTGTACTACACAGTTTATAGGAATGAATGTTGCTGAGTACCCAAAGTACAGTCATGTGACTGGCGGGGGCTGACCCATCAGAACTTTGAATCCAGTAAATAGCCCCCTAGGTAGGTCCGCTGAACAGTCACTAAACGACCAGTCGTAAGTTGAAGACTATCTATAAAGATAACAGGTAACTTCTGTTATTGTATTAACTAATTATCAATTGGTTAATCTGATTACTTGATTTTAGTCGATTTTTGTCAGCAAATTCAAACGGAAAAAGATTCCATTTAGATGGGATAAGTTGAAAGGGCGATTTTTAGTTTTAAACAACAGAGATTCAGATTGAACACTGTGCAGAAAGCAAGAGACTTTCTGGGAAAACTCAAAGAGGAATTAGAGAAAAAGCAAACAGAAGGGACCATGGCAAAGTAACTAAACAAATGCCACAGCAGATACAGCTGGACACTGAGGATACTACCACATTGGGCACAAATATTGATTTTTCTAAAATCTTGGTGTAACTATGGATTATAAATGTTTAATGTGGAATAACAGTGTAGCAAATGCTCCTCAGAATAGAAAAAAATTCAGGCATTCCTCAACTTACAACTGTTTGTTTAATGACAAGTTGAAGTTATGATGGTCTCGGAAAAAGTACTTTACCTCCTGTATTTGCACTTACAACTGTCGCACCACCCCTGCAATCACATGATTGCAATTTGGGCGCTTGGATACCAGCTTGGATTTACAACCCTTAGCAGCACCCTGTGGTCACAGGTTTGTGATTTTGCAACTTTTTTTGTGATTTCCATAAAAAAATGGCAAAAAATTCCACTGGGGAAGCTGATTCAGTTAATGAAAGCACTAAAATGATCATAAAATCGGGTCTGATCATGTGATGACTTGCTTTACAACCCGATAATTTATAATGAAAATTCCAGCCCCAGTTCTGATCTCAAGTTGAGGACCACCTGTATTTCATTATTTGGAAAAGCTCAAACAAGATGTGGTTTCCTTACAAGAAACAGATATTAGGGGGATTTTTTTATTATAAAAACGTTCTGATTTGGGGATTTTCTGATTAAATACATTTCCTGTTATAGAAATAGCTAGTAAAGTTACGTACAAATAAATAAAAATTTGTGGCTATTTTATTCTTTTTATTCTGCTATGCTGAAAAAAGTTGGAAGTTAATGCTTCCCCCCTTCTTTTTTCCCTCATCCTACACTTCTTTCTCTTTCTTTTCCTTTCCCCGTTTCCCTTTATCTTTGTTCTCATTTGTATTTTATATTATGATAAAAAAATTAATTAAAAAAGAAACAGCTATTAGGAAAAAGGATATAAAATATTTGGGTGACAAAAAATTGGCTGGAGAATTTATCTCGGTAGGAATAAAAGAAACAGAGTTGCTTTGTATATAAACTCTCTCAAGTATATCCAAAACTTATATTGACTAATAATCATGGCAGATATGTTGGAATGAAAGTTACTTACAAGGGAGGATATAAGGAAGAAACACTATAGGAAAATTCCCTGCTGGCTATCTACCATGGAGGCAATGATTCATCCTAAAACGTTGGATATAAGCAAAATGCCCAGATATTCGGAAATTTTAGACAAACAGGGGAAGCTCAAAAATAATCAGGTACTAAAAGAACAGGGAATAAATATTGATTGGTGGCCATACTTACAATTACAATCTAGATAATAAGAAGGATGTGGAAGATTATGGAATTGACATGGAATTAAAACAATTAGACAAATTATTGATAGGCCCTGAAGGAAAATTAATATCTAAAATATATAACTATTTATTAGACTTTGATAGAGTAGAGGAGATAGTGAAAGAACCAATGATTGCATGGGCAAAAAACATAGGGCACAATATAGAATTAGAAGATTGGGA